GCTGGAGTGGAGGGTGGCCCATTGTAATCTCGTTTTCTGTTAGGTGTCCTAGCTCAGCCTCAGTTCTCTTGTCATTTTTTTCTAAGAATCCCTCTGTTTCCACACATTGCCTCAACTGAGAGCCTGTTCCCACTGCTCAGTTCCTCCTCTTCTGTCTGGAGGCTGTTGTCAATATGTGTTTCTTGTAATGTGTGTGTTCCTAGATGGTTTTGTTAACCATTGTAGTCAACCATGCCTATTTCATGCTTACAAAAGCAAATCCTTTTGTATTGTGATGAGAATTTAAGATTTTACCCAGATGGGTCTTTGAATATAGAGAAAGGCTTGTCTTCAGAGAGAGAAGGAGGTGCATGGTAGAGCTCTCAAATTGAGTGTGTTCTTACCAGTTTCCTCTAAAAGATGGGATGAGAGAGAAAAGAGAGGCCCAATTAATTTTCCACTGAAGGAAAACCACACATTTGCTTTTTATGGACACCAAAGTATTCAACAATAAGGAGCACTCTTGACAACCTGGTTTACGCAGTTTGTTCACTGTAGTCCTTAGTTCCTGTATGCCTGACTTAAATATAAGTTCTACAGGTCTTCCCCCCTGCCCCTGCAAGTAACCTTTATGAACTTTTGAAGGGCACATTTGCCAGAGGAGAGATGGGAGGCTAAAAAGGCAATTTTTGATAGGGTATTTAGATTTGGAAGTCTCTAAACTCCTTAGTTCCATCTGTTTCTTGCTTGATAAGACCTGATCTTTTAGGTAAGACTTTCCTACGTGAGTACTTACATATTTAGCTTTCATTCCTGACAAAGACAAGATACTTTTAGAAAAGATCTAAGGTGGCTTTACCCCAGGAAAGAAAAAAGTGAAATTGTTTTAAAGACTGCTACTTGAAGTTCCATGTGTTATCTATATTATTCTGAAAGATCAATATAATTAAGCCTGGAAACAACATATCTCCTGCTGTTTGTATTTTAATAAGACTTTTTTTTTTCCTAGAAATGAATAAACAAAAACCCGTTGAATAGATACATAAAAAGAGGGTCTGTAATACAATTACCAAAGTGTCTTTCCCCCAGCCCCCTTAAATTGTCTTTGGATAAATCAAATTGTTTGAAAGCACACGTATTCTGGCCTGTATCAGAAATACTGTGGCCAGCAGGAGTAGGGAAGTGATTGTAGCCCTGTACTCAGCACTGATGAGGCCACACCTTGAATACTGTGTTCAGTTTTGGGCCCCTCACCACAAGAAGGACATTGAGGTGCTCAAGCGTGTCTAAAGAAGGGCAGCAAAGCTGGTGAGGGGTATAGAGCACAAGTCTTATGAGGAGCGGCTGAAGGAACTGGGGTTGTTAAGTCTGGAGAAGAGGAGGTTGAGGGGAGACCTTATTGCTCTCTACAACTACCTGAAAGGGGGTTGTGGCAAGGTGGGTGTTGGTCTCTTCTCCGAAGTATCTAGCGATAAGAATGAGGGGAAATGGCCTCAAGTTGCGCCAGGGGCGGTTTAGACTGGATACTAGCAAAAATTTCTTCACCAAGAGAGTGGTCAGGCATTGGAACAGGTTGCCCAGGGAGGTGGTGGAGTCACCATCACTGGAAGTGTTCAAAGAACGTGTGGACGTGGCACTTCAGGACATGGTTTAGTGGGCATGGTGGTGTTGGATTGATGGTTGGACTTGATGATCTTGAAGGTCTTTTCCAACCTTAATGATTCTGTGATTTTGTGATATGAATATCTAAGGCGTATGTAGGTCAATATGTTGCTTAGACTTTCAAAGCTATTTTTACATATGAGCAAATATTAGCATTTCACATTAAAAGGGAACTATGTTTGAAGCTGGCCCATGACTTGCATAATAAATGTAAAACACTGAAATTAAAGTGCTTAGTCTAGTCTGTCACAAAAAGTACCCATGTATTGTTGTATATTATTTTTTAATAAACCAGCTGACATAATTCCTGTTGGAAGCTGTTCTTGATGACTTTTTGAAAAAATTTCGTCATGTTCTGAATTTTTTTGCCAGGTGAATGTAAAGCAGTGAAACATTATGAAGCATATAAACACAGTGAAGCATATAAAAGTTGCTCTAGTTTCTAGTTAACATGTACTAGGTAACAGGTGCTAAGACTTTGTTGAATCTTCCTTTTAAAGCTCTCTCTTGTGCTAGATTTTTTTTTTTTATTTAACCTTGTAGCTGGTTAAAATAAAGGGGTACGTAGCAGTATTATTTTTTTATTCACCTACCTAGAAAGATCTTCCATTTAAGATGGGGAACTAGCTACACTGAGACAATATAGAGATCCACATTGTGTTTAAACATAAACAATCCAGGGTGAGTAAAGGTGCTTTATGCCAACTTACATATGCCTACCTTTTTCTTTTTCTTTCTAATATTGAGCCAACACTATTTACAGCTAAGAAGATTCTTGCCACGATGATTTTGCCATGAGAGAAGGCAACCATCAGATGCATAGCAATAGGAAGCTATTTCTGAAAAACAGCTGGTTTTGATCACCTGTAATGCAAGTCTGCCTTTGAATTTTTTGAATTCTGCATGTTGATAAAGGTGTTTGCTGCTTTCCAAGAATGCTAAAATATACTTACGCAGTTTTGATGCTACAACTTGTGAAACCTTTATTAAATAAAATATTAATTTGAAAATACCCTGTCTAGCTGTACAAAAGTTGAAAGTCATTCTTGTGAAGCTTAATGTTGCTCTTAACAGTTTTTCCTTGATGATAAAGTTTCTATATAGAGATTTTATTTTTCAATTTGATCATTCTAAGATAGGCAGAATTCTGAAAGGGTTATGGAAGAAACAGCTTATTAACATGGAGTATCTTTATTATGCACGCCTCTGTCAGCACCAAGTGTTACAAATTGCAACTGGTAGTTGAGATGCATGCTTTGACCTGCAGGAAGCTTTATATTTTCACTCATTATTTATAAGAACAAAAGTGCTAACCTGAAGTCCTTTAAAAACAATTTACATAACCATTAAAAATTTAAAGAAAGCTTATTATTATAACACTTGCAGTATTTATGCAGCACCTAGTACACCCTGTAAATTGGCTAGAAACTTCTGTCAACTTCTGCAAATACTATAGCTTACATGACTGCATTAAGACTCATGAATCTATAACTGGGAATTGAGAAAATGTGAAACAAGGCAGTTGCATCTGCAACTGAACTAGTCAAGCTACAGGACATACCTAGTCTGAGGAAGATGTGGGCTATTTACAGGTTGATTTGGTGACTTTACGTAATGTGTGATTGCTGACAGCACGTTGTCTATTAAAAAGTAGAAATAATACTTCAAAATCTGAAAGCATAAAGTAAGTGTCATTTTCCCTCCTACTCATGGTTTCACAGAAAATTCACTTTTTGAAAGTGAGAAGTATGGTTAAAACATTTTTTAAAAATGCAGTCTTTTGACATACACGTCTGTAGTTAAAATGTGCCACACAAGATGATTTGATTGTTGAAAAGTCAAGTTCCACTTGACAGAAAGAATGGCCAGAAGGTTTTTTCTTGGGATGGAATTTTCTAGGAAGAATTGAAATTAGAAAGTAGGTGTTGAGAAATGCTGTTTGTTCTGTCACTGTGCAGTGTTTCATAATAGCTTTCATTATAAAGCAATGAGGAACATTAAGGGTAAATTCCTGTGTGGGAGAAGTGGCATATAGGCTTTCTAGTTTTCTTTATGTATGCTACTATGTAATATGCAGATGCTTTTTAGCTTGTTGGGGATCTTGACAGAAGATTTTTTTTTTTTTTTTTTAAATACCTGTGTATGTGTGTGAGCATGCACATAAAACTCGGCAGGAGTTTACAAGAATACAGTCAAAAACAAGAACAGTATAGGTTATACACTGCTAAGATAATACTACAAGATAAGAATATTTAGTCACATGTTGGAAAACAGGGAAAGAATGACCATTTACCCTGTGAAGGACATCATAACTGTCTCTAGTGGTGCCCCTTTTGTGCTCAGCCTGCACATCTCTGCAAGCTCGGGTCTAGCTGATGTAATCCCTGCTAAGGGCTGCTGCACAGGTGCCCAGATGCACAAGAACTCTGTCATACGTGACCATACTGAACCTGTTGTCTAACATAAAAGTTCTGTTTTGTTCAACTTTAGCTTAAGTGGGAGAGTTGAAGCACACAGTTATAAAATAAATTCTCATCGCTTACCTCAGTGACTTCACAGGACAAGACACGGGATGGTGGGATTTTCTGACTTTTTCTGAACCATTGTTCACTCTCACACAAGTTGCTGCAGTTCTTTCTGAGTCTGTAGATAGCCAGGAAAATCTCAACTGAGGGTACTGGACAGGCACAATATATTTTTCAATGTAGGATATACTCCCCATTGCAGTGTGTTGTGGTGCCTGGTTGGTGTTAGCATCTGCACCATCTGCCCAGTGCTGGAGTGCAGGAAGTCAGAAATGTTTGTAAAGGACTGCTGGGGATGGGCACAATTGTTCCCGAGGTAAAAGCTGCCTTGGAAGCACATTTTTGATTAAAAAAAAAAGTCATTTGGAACTATGTGTTCATTTTAAAAACAGCGACATCTGCGTATACAAGCATTGTAAAACTTGTAGTTGGTTGGTGTATGTATGAGGGCTGCAAACTTCCTCTGAAAGAGAGATTAAATGAAGAGAGTCATGAATGGGTTGCTTTTATTGCATTTGGAAGATTATGCATACCTTATACATAGTTTATACTGTTTGGTTTTTTCAATCTTTAAGTAGTAGCGAGTCTTGAAAGGAATGTGCTGCTGGGCCTGGATTTAAGTTGATTGTGGTGATAAGGATTTGGATAGATCCTTTATTTCCATCTTTGAAACAAAAAAAAAAGTTGTTTTTCTGTTCTGTCTACTTGCTCTCAGTAGATGTAGTCGGCTGCTTAACATCTCTGAAGTTAATATTGTAGTGTTTCCCAGAGCTTTTGCTATTTATGCAAGCTTATTTTGGTCAGTACTTACGTTTTGTTTTTGTTTTTGTCAGCAGCCATGCAGCAGGTCCTGGATAACCTTACTGATCTGCCGACATCAACAGGCGCTGAAGAAATAGACCTGATTTTTCTTAAAGGAATTATGGAAAACCCTATTGTAAGATCACTTGCTAAGGTATTTAAACTTGCTGCTCTAAGTGGAATCTAGAAGTATTTTAACTCTTAAATTATTGTGTGAACACTGAGTATGGATTGAGCTATTAACAATAGCTTTTATGTACAGGACATCTTATTACAATACTTCTAAGAGTTCTTGAAGGTGAAGATTTGGTATAATGTAATTTCTGTGCACGATGATTTATTGTATGGAAGACTCTAGAAGAAGAAAAATTCAGAGACCTCAGAAATAATGTGGTAACATTATTTATGAAGAAGATCTAAAAATACTTGTGTATTGTGACCACTGTTGTGTGCAAAACCCATATGCCTTCTGACTTTTAACGTTTTTTTTCCAAGATGAAAAGTGAGAGCAATAACCTTCTTTCCCCCATGGCATAAACAAGTTTTCTTTTTGTCTTTGGCTCAAAACAACTTTCTGATCAGCCCCGTGGAATGTTCTCTCCATGCCCTTTCCTGGATCTTAGAGCAATGTTGAGACCTTCGAGTGTCAGCTCTTTGAGACATGGGCTATCCTTAGTTTTGGTCATGCATTAAGAAAGTCTTTTACTTATATATGGTAGCAATCAATTATAAATATGTAAGGTGATACTTACAAAAAAAAATATTTGGACTCTGTAATTAAAATGTAGCTGACCTTACCAGTAGGAGATGCAGTCAATATTGCATAGCACTTATATTCTTTCTTAATCCTACTTCATAAAAATAAGCTCCTTTCGTGAGGGGAAAAACAGTTAACTTAAATGTAGCTGTCTCTTTAATACGAATAGACATCTGAAAGCAGTGCCCTCTGGGCAGGCATGAAATACTCTGTAAAGCTAAAGGATTTTTGTGCAGGGATTTTGCGCAGTATAAAAATCTGGAAAGGAAGACTCATAAGAATTTATACAAGAATTTACTTCTTTTAGTTGTTCAAAAATATTTGTTGTAAGTGGAAGACATTGCATAGTAATAAACTTAGAAATAATGGAAGTGTCTCATCTGCTAGTGAGATGACTGCAGAAGGAAGGATTTGTGTACTAAATTTACTAGAGTAAGTAAAAGCGTTTTCTTACTTAGAGTTGTTTCCAACTTCAGTATCTGCTGCATATGTCGTCTTTAATTTAGTATTTATCATTAAAATGTTCATTGCAAAGCATTTTTTTCTTATCAATAATTTGTGCTTTAATGGCCAATTACAATTATGTGGAATTGAATGACTAGCAGATGTAAAACAGTGCTTGTAGTGGAAACAGATTCTTAAGTATAAACTTGCTTTATCTAGAATGCTGAAAGGTTTTAATGTTGTTCATGTGGCATGACTGCACTCATATTTTCTTTTGTAGTTATTTCAGAATTAAACCCAAAACCTCAGTCCTAACCAGCAGAGCTAAATAAGGACAAGATCAAAATGACAACACATTTCATGAAGTATATATAGTTCACATATATCCATTTGTGAATAGGCAATTCTCAGGACCCTGAGATGGTCAGATTATTTAAGCAGATTCATTTCAGACCAGGCCAGAAACATAAAAGCTTTTTCTTTTTCCTTTATTATCTTTTTTGAGATAGGGTTCTTTTACTGTGCCTTTCCATTCTTCAGTAGGTGGTGGTGGGGGTAACTATAATCACTGTAAAATGTATTTTCTGTCATTTACTGGTGTTTATAGAATCACAGAATCATAGAATAGTTTGGGTTGGAAGGGACCTCCAAAGATCATCTAGTCCAACCCCCCTGCAATGAGCAGGGACATCTTCAACTAGATCAGGTTGCTCAGAGTCCCGCCCAACCTGATCTGGAATGTTTCCAGGGATGGGGCATCTACCACGTCTCTGGGCAACCTGTCCCACCACCCTCATCATGAAAAATGTCTTCCTTACATCTAAATCTACCCTCTTCTAGTTTAAAGCCATCGCCCCTTGTCCTATTGCAATAGGCCCTGCTAAAAAGTTTGTCTCCATTTTTCTTATAACCCCCCTTTCAGTACTCTAAGGCTGCAGTAAGGTCTCCCCAGAGCTGCCTTCAGGCTGAACAACCCCAACTCTCTCAGCCTTTCTTCATAGGGGAGGTGTTCCATCCCTCTGACCATTTTTGTGGCCCTCCCCTGGACCGTCTCCAACAGGTCCATGTCTCTCTGGTGCTGAGGTTTATGTTCAATACTAAGTAGCCTTTAGAATTTTTATGCTTTTTTGAAAACAGTTGTTGAATTTGGAACATGCGTGAGTTTTGCTGCTGAACTGTCTTATCAAAACTCTCTTCTGCTGGATTGTTAACTACTCTTTTGAACGTCAAAACTTTATCATCTTTTCTGCAGTTACACTATTTCTTTTAATATTGTAGCATAGCCTACAGCATACTGGGTGAATGCCTAATCCAGACCAAGGAAACACCTTAGGAGTAATCTATAAACATTGAGTCCAGTATTTAGGATGTCAGATTGTTGGAGGTAAAAGCTTTACTGTTTGAACATTTAGCAAGTATAATGAATATTGAACGAATCAAAAGTCTCCATTCAGTATTACTATTTCTGAAATGAAAAAACAAATTAATAGCAATATCTAAGTTAGCTATTCCTTTTGTTTTTTTTTTTTTAATTAATCATACCACTCCATATCCTGCTACTCCCCAACATATTACAGCATCAGGGGTTGTTGACTGATGTACTGTTCCCCAGTGTATACATGGCCTTAATTTTGGGGTGAAGGGTGAGGATATTTGTGTTTACATTATATTCTGTGTTAATGGTAGTATTTTAAAGAAAATTAATGAGAAAGAAGGTAACCCATATTCTCTGACCTTATAAAGGTTTTGCAGTTGGAGTATGTTTAAAAGTCAATAGAGTTGTGTTTTTACTTTCTGTAAAAGAAGTAAACTGTAAAAGAAGGATATTGTTTACTCTATGTATTATGTACAAAATAGCATTCCCTTATTAAGGAGAATGTGTGTAGGTGCCAAACTTCCTATGACTTTGTAATCATGGTCATTTTGTTTGTGTGTGTTGGTGTTGGGGAATGTTTGAAATATCTTTCTCTATGTTAAGTTAGGCTTTCCAGTGTGTTATCATCAGTCCTGCAGAAATACCATTTTATAGATATGAAGTAGAATTTAATACTTGGATATTTCAGAAAACAAAGTGTTCTGGTTTTAGCAAAATGTTTTAAAGCACTTATAAGAAAGTAGATGTGTGTGCATACCTTCAAATTATATATATGGGAAGTATATATAGATGACACCCAAATACATCTGTTATTTGTTGTGTTTTTAGCTGTCAAATGATTGTTGTTTTTTGAAATTCTTGTTGCTACAGTGTTGGAAATAACTCTTAATTGAGTGCATAGAGAATCTTAGTTATTTTTGGTCTCCTCTTATTCCCTAATTTTATGATTCAGGACTACCTGTAGTGAGTGAGTGAATTATTCAGATTTATGAGATGTTGCTCTTGCAGCTCAAAGCTCTTACCTTTTAATGAATTTAAGTATCTGCAGTGTTTAGGAAAGGATTATGTCTGCAGCAGTAGCTCTAGAATGAGATTAAAAGTTATCACAGAATAGTTGAGGTTGGAACGGACCTCTGGAGGGCATCTGGTCCAGCCCTCCTGCTCAACCAGGGTCACCTAGAGATGGCTGTCCTGAACCATGTCCAGATGGCTGTTGAATATCTCCAAGGAGGGAGACTCCAACCTCTTTGGGCAAACTGTGCCAGTGCTCAGTCACCCTCACAGTGGAAAAAGTGTTTCCTGATGTTCAGATAGAGCCTTCTGTGTTTCAGTGTGTGCCCATTGCCTCCCGTCCTGAAACTGGGCACCACTGAAAAGAGCCCGGCTCTGTCCTTACACCCTCTCTTCAGGTATTTATACACATTGTTGAGACCCCCCTGGAACCTTCTCTTCTTCAGGCTGAACAGTCCCAGCTCTCTCAGCCTTTCCTCACATGTCATGTGCTCCAGTCCCTTCTTCATCTTTGTGGCCCTTCACTGGACTCTATTCTAGTATGTCCAGAACTGTACACAGTACTCCACGTGTGGCCTTGCCAGTGCTGAGTAGAGCTTGACCTTCTGGCAGCACTCTTAATGCAGCCCAGGATACTGTTAGCCGCCTTTGCTGCAGACTTTTCTTTAGCATTTGCTTTAGTTATGCAGACTTTCCTTTAGGATTTGCTGTTTTGAAGGTGTTTGAATGGGAGGAGCCTGGAGTAAATGCTTCTCTTGCAGGCTTTATTTTTTTATGAGCAGATCCCATAGTTCCTTTTTTGTCCTTCTTCTAGAAGATGTACTTGTACTTGGTTCTGAAGCAGAAAAGATCTGAGGTGTTTTGCTGTCCAGGCGGAACTGTTTGGTGTGTATATAGCATAGAGTTTATAGGAAATAAGGACATAAAAGCATCTCTGACAGGTGCTGCTTATAAAGTTTAAGCATGCAAAATCCTTCAGCAGTTATAAAGATAAAATACACAGATTATACTATATGTAATTTTTCTGGCTTTCCTGCTAAAGGTTGCACCAATAAATTATATAAAAGCTTTATAAATTGGAAGTACCTGAATCTTATTTACAGTATATTCTCATATATTTAATCTTACAGGCTCATGAGCGACTGGAAGATTCTAAACTTGAGGCTGTCAGTGACAACAACCTGGAGTTGGTGAATGAAATTCTTGAAGACATCAGTCCCTTAGTAAATAAAGATGAAAATATTGCAGAATTGGTTGGAATACTCAAGGAGCCTCATTTTCAGGTGCCACCTTTTTACTGTGTATTACCAACTCTTACTGTATCAGTGTCCATATAATGATCTAGGAATAATAATGAAACAAAACCTGAACTGTAGCAAACTTTAATATGTAGGATTTTACTCCAAATGAAAGGTAAAGCAGAAGCCATGTGGCGTTATGAACATGATTTTATTCTTTGATATTGTCTCAAGAATATCTTCACTCATTGCATTAAAATCCACTGGCGTTTCTGTTATAAATCTTGGACATTTACTTCCTATATGAGTGGAGTTTCCATAACAATTCCCTGAAGGTTTCATCCTTAGCATTTCCAGGTAGTCTCAGTTACTGATACTGACCATTCTGCATTTCAGTTCAGCTGTTGGCATTCATACCCACGTGTAAGATGTACAGTTTGCAGAGTGAATGAATATGATTCTTCTATGACGCGATCTGCACTGCAACTTAAGTTGAAACTCTGCATCCCTCTTACTGCTGCTCTACTTAAGTGAAGTTTTGACACATGATTGTCAAAAGCAGATGTTTTTCCATAGCTGCCATTCTATTACCAGCTTCCATACTGACCCTTGAAGGCTAGGGTTTGTGAATCCTTGGTAGATTCTGGACTTTCCAGGCAGGCTTCAGCTGACTTCAGTACTTAGCCATAGGTATCCTGTAGAAGAACATAAGCAAACCTTCTGCTACAGTAGAAATGTGCTTCTTTTGGCAGACTGGTATAGCCATAGACATTTTTTGGGTATATGAGTTTAAACATAAAAAGTTTTTTTCCTGAATTTTCAGTTATACATTATACAAACGTAGCATAAGTGCATTACTGTTTAATACTGGAAATGCTGTCAAGCGGTGGTGTGGCCTGTTGGAAGAGGAAACACTTTAAGAGCTCAGCTTTTGAGGTAGTAGCTATTCTGAGTGCTGATGGTTCCTCTGCCTCTTCTGAGGACAAGTGTTAGCCTCCCTTGTGTCCCTATTTGTCCAGAAAGGCATCATAGCTAAGGGATCAAAGACTGTGATTTGGAGGCTTACTGGTGAATACACCTGCAAATGAGTCTTTGATCCCTTAGCAGAAATTGGTATTGGAAAAGGAAAGGATAAGTTTGTAAGAATTGATAGTTACAATGCAAAAAACCTGGAATTGGGGGCCAACTGGTGCAGTGACAGATCTGACAAAGATCCATTGTATTAGAGAAACTAAAGTTGACAAGTCAAAGAGGATGAATCAAAATATGAAAAGGACTTAAGTGAAGTGCTGGAGTGGACTGACTTTAAAAGGCACTGTAGCAATGATCTGTGGAGAGAGATGGCAAAGACCAGAGACCAACTGGGCAAAGAATCTTTGTGGTGGAGACTGGAAATGGCCTGCAGGAGACTGAGCTCAAAGAAGAATTTTAATGAGGTTGAACAGCCAATGCTAAGGCAAACCCAGCATTCATTCCTGTTCAGTGGTCATATTTACAGAGAGACAACATGATGCTGATGTCAGTTACTCCATTAGTTCAGGCTTGAGCAACTCACACATTTAATTTAAAAGTTCCAAAGTACCTGGTGAAGAAAAATGCTGATATTTATACTATTTCTTTTACCTTTTTTTGTTGTTTGATTTAGAGAAAGCAGACTTGAAAGTGAATGTATGCTACATTAACTTTACAGTTTTGCTCTGATCTTCTGTTAGTGGTTCCTAATTGTATATTAAACATCCATCTAACATATATCTCTTCTGTTTTCCTTCCCTGCCCCCAGCAGTAGGCATCGAGTGAAGACTGTAAGGCTAGAACAAGCCAATAGTGATACCTTCCAAAATGTTTTGTGAGGATTTAGTGATTTGTTGCTCAGACTTGATCTGCATGAGGGGATTGAGTGCTGCCTCAGTATGTTTGCAGATTGGGCGGGAGTGTTGATCTGCTCGAGAGTAGGAAGGCTCTGCAGAGGGATCTGGACAGGCTGGATCGATGTGCCGAAGTCAGCTGTATAAGGTTTAAGAAGGCTAAGTGACAGGTCCTGCACTTAGGTCACAACAACCCCATGCAACGCTACAGGCTTGGGGACGAATGGCTGGAGAGCTGCCCGGTGGAAAAGGACCTGGGGGTACTGGTTGAAAGCTGGCTGAACATGAGCCAGCAGTGTGCCCAGGTGGCCAAGAAGGCCAACAGCATCCTGGCCTGTACCAGAAATAGTGTGGCCAGCAGGAGTGATTGTGCCTCTGTACTCAGCACTGGTGGGGCCAAACCTCAAATACTGTGTTTCTTTTGGGCCCCTCACTACAAGAAGGACATTGAGATACTGGAGCATGTCCAGAGAAGGGCTGGTGAGGGGTCTGGAGCACAAGCCTTATGAGGAGCAGCTGAGGGAGCTAGGGTTGTTCAGTCTGGAGAAGAGGAGGCTGAGGGGAGACCTTATCACTCCCTACAACTACCTGAAAGGGGGTTGTGGCGAGGTGGGTGTTGGTCTCCTCTCCCAAGTAACTAGCGATAAGAATGAGGGGAAATGGCCTCAAGTTACACCAGGGGAGGTTTAGATTGGATATTAGGAAAAAATTCTTTATGGAGAGAGTGGTCAAGCATTGGAACAGGCTGCCCAGGGAGGTGCTGGAGTCACCATCACTGGAAGTATTCAAAAAATGTCAAGCATTGGAACAGGCTGCCAGGGAAGTGGCACTTCAGGACATGGTGTAGTGGGCATGGTGGTGTTGAGTTGACAGTTGGACTTAATGATCTTAAAGGTCTTTTACAACCTTAATGATTCTATGACTTCTGAGTGAGAAGTAGCATCATCCACCTGTGGTGGTGGTCTCTTCCATCAGCTTGTTCAGCTGTTTTTTGATCCCATGGAAAAATCTGTCATTCACAACATCCCCCATCAGAGTGGAGAGTATGCTGTTTTGTTTTTGAGACTGTCACCTGTCAACTGCACTTAATACCCCCTTGTTCTTGGGTAGAAAGAAAGTGAACAGTATTTCTTAATCAGCTTGTCCATGTTACTTGTGATTTGAGAGACCTGACTGTATATGTGTGTCTGTCTGTCTCAAATAAATAAAAAGAAGGGAAGCAAAGCTGTATAAAGCTTCCCAGAGTCATTCACAGCAGCATGGTTTTATGAAGTGGTGTAATAATTTCCATTGCACCTGCTACTCATTACCTAAAAAATTCCCAGTATTTGGTTTGCCTTTTTAACAGCTGGTAGATAGGATAGGATAGGATAGGATAGGATAGGATAGGATAGGATAGGATAGGATAGGATAGGATAGGATAGGATAGGATAGTTCAGTTGGAAGGGACCTACAATGATCATCTAGTCCAACTGCCTGACGACTTGAGGACTGACCAAAAATTAAAGCATATTATTAAGGGCATTGTCCAAATGCCTGTTAAACACTGACAGGCATGGGGCATCAACCACCCCTCTAGGAAACCTGCTCCAGTGTTTGACTACCTCCTCAGTAAAGAACAGGTTCCTCTAGGCTCAGTAAACATAGAGGTGGGTTGGTTTTTTTGGTTTGGTTTGGCTTTGTACTGTTTATACTTCTGAGATACCGCTTCTGAGTCTGTCGGTTAATATGTCAAATTAGGATTGTGTTTTCCCTTGCAGTCTGTGTTGACTTTCATTTGCCTTGTTCTCACTCTGTTGCTCATGAGATGCTCCTGCAGGTTACAATCAGTTGTTTACTTCTTGAATAGTTTAGCAGCATCAGCAAATCCTGTCATTTCACTTCTCACCCCCATTTCCTAGACCACTTATCTGTCATGTCAGTGTATTGGCAGGTCTAGAACTGAGCCCAGATGCCAATGGGAAATCCCCTGGTGACATGAATTGTGAAAACTAATGATACCATATTCTTGGCCCCAATTCTTCTGTCTTTTAACCAATATTTTCATCCACATGAAAGCCTTACTGTTTATCCTACAGTAGCTTTGTTTCTTTAAAAGACTTTGCCAAAGGAGCCTACTAAAGGTCTTTTGGAAATTGAGCTATATTATCAACTGTAACTGCCTCACTGCCATGCTTGGTGACTCTTTCAAGGAACTTAACTAGATTTGAGAAACATGACTTCCCTTTATTAAAGCATGGTGATGCTTTCCCATGATCTATTTTGTCTAATCATTCTGTTTTTTATGGAAACTTCTTCTAATTTGTTTAGTATCAACATCAGACCTACTGGTTCACAGTTTGTTGTTTCTTCCTTGGAACCCAGTTTAAAAATTCATGTCATGATTATTGTACGCTCTGAACAAGATTGCATGCTGCTTCTTTCACTATACTGTTGAGTGAGTCATGGATATGTAAGAGAAATAAGCTATTTCTAGACCTCCCTATTTCATTTGCTGCAACACCTGGACGGTACAGAAAGAATTAGGTATGAAAGGAAGAGAAAAGACTATTTGATGGTTAAGATAGTTAAATGCTGCCCTGGAGAACTAACCTATCTTTCACTCTGTCAGAATTAGAGTTCATTTAAAAAAAAAAAAAGCCTTAAACAGCTTTAACTTGAGATTTTTTTCTTCTTTTCTAATTGCCTGTTGTGAGGCCTTCAGTCTCATTTGCAGAAACAGTGAACAGTTTTGACTGCTGCATACAGGCAAAAAGCATCTTAGCTACTTTCTTTTTAAAAGTAGATCTGATGTGATCCAGTTTGGAAGCCTAAAATTAGGGTTTACTTTTCAGCCATTAATTTTGTCCTTCCATTCCCCATGTGGAGGCCTGCAACAAAGACAGCTGAGGCCAAAATAGTATTACTTTGATTAAATGTTTTCATTTAACTGATATTGTAGTTATGACTACTCTAGAAGAGCTTCTAGGAAAATTTGCAGACCAAAATGTGGATACAATATTCCTTCTAAGGCTTGAGGAGCCTATATATCTCTCACTCTGAAAATGAATCAGAAAATTAACTAAATACTCAAGAAATAAGTGTTATCCTTTCTGCCTCATTTGGTGCAAGAATGCATATTCCAAATTCTGCAAGAGGGACCTGTAAGGAAAAAAAGGAAAAATACAATGCAATTTGTAATTATAGAAAATGTAATTTACATACTTTCTCCAGTTCAGTAAATGTGTAAACAAGCCACCTTGACTTGACTTGACTCTTTTTAAAGTTTCAAACACTATTATGTAACTGTTGTAGAGGCTGATTTTGTATTTTAAAAATGAATGGTGCCACTCTATCACAGTCATCTTGCAGTTGTAACCTACCTCGGCAACAATTATCCAATGTGGTATACAAGTCATTAGTGCAACAGCTTATTTGAATGTATCATTTAGTGCTGAAGGTATTGAATTACAGAACTTAATTTCTTGTACACATTTTTACGGAAGATACATTGGGGAGGGACTAGCTTATGGATGCACTTACAGGTGCATGTATGGTTATACTCTTATGCTTGACTGTCTGTTCCCTCCCTTTTCTCTCTTCTCCTTTCATTCCTTTCTTTTTCTTCCCTTCCACTCTTTACCCCTTTCAGTTTTAACTAAACTTTTCAGGGTTCGACGTGTGGAAGATACTAAGTTCTCAGGAGTTTCACAGTACTGACAGCTGGCCATCAAGGCCAGTATGTACTGAAGAGCCAGCTGGCACATGCAGTGCATAGATAAGGCTACATCAAGTCTTGCCAGACAGTAGCTGGAGGGCAGAAGAGAGAAGTGGTAAGAGAGGTTGCCTTGAGGGAAAAGGGAGGAGTTGAAAGTATCTACTGGAGGGGTTAAACATGCAGAAGAATCACTTCTGTTGCTTATGGAAGAACTTGTTCAGTTATTTTTCACCTTTCCAAGAGTTACGTAAGCCATTCGTCCTAAATAGTAGAGTCTGCTGGCAATAAAATACTTATTCTGAAAAGCAGCCAATATTTTCTTCTAATAGTTAGCTTTATAATGGCTAATCATACCTTTAAAATACTTCCTTTAGAAAAGTGATCTTAAGTTACTTCCTAGACAGACCTAATTTATAGGGTTATTTTTCCCACGTATTCATACCTCCTTACCAGCCCACTTGATTTCTCTAAAATCTTAAATGATTTCCTCACTTTTCCAGAACAGCCTTTAAAAAAATCTCTTCTTTTCACATGTACATTAGGGACCTGTAGTCTGTTTATTAAGTTCTGATTTTTAAACAGTGTTATCAGAGAAGACTAGCACATATTTAGTGCATGAAAGAGGAATGGAAATATTTTAGGTACTGCTGAGGCCTGAGTGTTAGGAAAGGAGTCCTAAATTCAACTATAGGGTGGTTCTGCTCTTGTGTATACCCTCTGGCTCCCAATTTGTAATTTAATTGTTCTGTTGGATCACAGTTGGGGAAATAGTTATCACATAGAGGAGGCAATGCTTCATAACTTGTGTAGATGGTGCTGAGAATTTTTTTAGGAAAAACAAATTTTGAATTTGAACTTGGCTTCAGCACTGTAGAAAGCCGTGAATGTTTAATGTTTATTTGTTTACTGAATTTTGAATTACCTTTTTTTTAACCTGTCAAATGAATACAGACACAGAAAACTACTATAAAGAAGTAAGTATGTTCTAAGTTTATGGATTACTTTATGACAATGTCTTGCACAAAGGGGCCATGCTGTGCCACAGGACTGTATGTCCATTGTGTGATATCTCTTGTGATAGGCAGGGTTCTTCTAAATGCCTTATGCCAGCAACATTGCCATTTTTTCCATGAGAACCTTTCTACAGTTATCCAGTCCTGGATAGTCAGCTGATCCTGTTTACATATGTGATATGGAGGAAACTTTGAACTGTTTTATGGTTGTTGATTGTTTAATTCATGTTGTTTTGCAGACTTGGCAGTGGTTTTATAAGTATTCTAGCACCAGTATGGGAAAGGTTAGATTCCAGGGGAGCTCTGGAGTTGCAGGATCACAGGTTATCACTTTTTCAGATACCGTAAGAAAGAAACAAGTGAAGTTCATGCAACTGTTATTTCTCAGATCACTCAACCATATTACTGAAATAAGAAAGTAACTGTGAGTGACATAAAATGTCCTAGAGTAGTCCAACAGTGGATACAGATGCATGGCCCCTGTTGCCTGGTGGCTTTGTTTTAAGTGTTCTTCATTGATGTGTGCTGTCACCTGTCTGGCTGGAAACAATCTTATAAAACTGGTGTAGATTCTTGAGTTTCAGAACTGAGACACTGGTGTGGAAAGGTAATAAGTTAACTGTGGCTTGTTTTAAGGAAACCAATAAATTACTTTTCTTAAAGAAACCATTTTATAATTCTGTGCAGCAATGTACTGTCCCTGATAGTCCTTCTGAGACCCAACCATCTTGTAGATAGCAGGAAAGAGGTTTTGTGATTGAGAGATGGTTAAGTAGTAGCTGAAAGAATTAATGCTTATCCATAAACCTGAGTGAACAAAAAGGATTAGAATGTGGAATGGAATCAGATTTAAGAACTGAAGAATCTTACAGAGCATGTCAATTTGGAAAAGATGACACAGACAGTTAGCTTAGTAGTAATTTTTGACTGTAATCATAAATTATATGACCGTTAAGGACAGGGAGCTATACAAGTGTTGTTATGCATAAGGGTCCACAAGAAATCTAGTGGTTTGCGCCCAGAAAGTTTGGGAACAATTTGTTCTAGCATGTGAACAAAAGAGAAAACTGAAAGCATCATACTGGTGTACCTGCCTGGTTTTGTCGGTGGTAATGTGTTAGGATGTGTAGTTGATGCTAGTTGGTTTCATTTTGGAAATGTAGAAAGATCCAAAAATGTTGCTTTCAAACATGGGCAAACAGAGATCTGTTCTCCTGGTTTCTGGATTGGATGTGTCTTGGATAATGAAGAATTAGAAATTGCTACCATCTGACAGCTGCCTGATTTAAATAAATTATTGTTTTTCCTAATGTAATTTGATTTGGTTTCTGTCCACAGTATCAGAGCAGCCACAATAAGCAGCTGCCTTTACAGTCTTAATGGCAGAGGGAGAATCGCTGAATTAGTACCTCCTTCTAACATCGAGTTGTGAAATATCAGCAGGGTCATCATGTAGCGGGCAGATTAAAATGACTGTTCATGTTTGTGATACTTTGAGGGCTTGCATGCTGAGCTTACCACTAAACTAATACGGTTGCACAACTTTTAGGTTAGTGGTGGCTTACAAAAGGATGGAGCAGACTGCATAGCAAAGTTGTTAAATTTGCTTAAATGTTACCTGCTCACCTGCTTTGCTTTCTAGTAGTTTGATGTCTTCCTCTGGCATGTGCATGTTACTGTCAGTGGCAGTCCCTATGATGTCCTGTCCTTGGTGTCTTCTCTTTAGCTACTTACTTGACACCAGTTAGTGATCTAACTTAAGCCCATATCTCATCAGGTCACTGTTTGAAACAAAGCTATGTTGTTTGTGGCCCAGTAGGTAGCTCCTCTACCTGCTTCTTTTCCTCTTCCTGTATCTGTCAGTGAAACTCTCTGCGCTACAGGATGCTTTATCTTAAACTACCATACATGGTGGCTACAGGGGTGTCCCTTTTCCTCTTCAAGACAGAAAGTCTCCACTGTCTAATTTTGACAAGTTCGATCTTGTTTTACCTGTATGTCTTCTGAATCTGTTCTTTAAATCTTAAACTATCTTTTACAAGAAGATAAAGTCTAAATTGCCTTGTTTTCCAAAGATTATTATATTTATTGGGATCTCTTCCTTTTGCTCTCTATTCATGTATGCAGACTGGTGAAAACACCATTAACTATAAGGTCTGAGGTCTTGTATTCCAGAAAGTGAATTCTGTCATCTTGGGTTCATTTGGTGCTAGAATTCTGCCTTGGCTTTATGCAAACAGAAAGCACTTATTCTGCAGCTTGCTAGAAATCCTTGCATACCTGTAATTATCCAAATTACTGTGGAGAAAAATTTTATGGCATTAAACACAAGTATCTAGTGATGAGTTATCTTCATTTTTTTGCAGTGAGTTATTCATTTACTTTAACCATTTGCTCAGGTATTATCTCATTAGGTGAAAGACTGTTTTAGGTAATCCTATTTCCATCTTCTTCCCTGCAAGATCACATGTTCCTCTGAAATACATTACATTTATCCTATACTTCCTGAAGAAGAAGCTTTTGTACTTACAAAAGAGAGCATATTTGCCAAGACAGTAGGCTTCTCAAGCCATGTGGGTACTTGTATGTCCATTTTTCTCCATTCCATGTGAAGTAAAAGTTTTATGTTCTAGTCCCAAAAGGGCAGATTCAGTGGTTAATCAGCAGTAAATCCTTTTGCAAATAGTTATTTCATGACTTAAGAAAGGCTTTTTCTGTTCCTTCGCAGTCACTCTTGGAAGCACATGATATTGTGGCTTCAAAATGTTATGATTCCCCTCCTTCTAGCCCAGAAGTCAATAATTCTTCAGTGAACAACCAGATTGTTCCAGTAGATGCTATTCGTATCCTTGGAATTCACAAAAGAGCAGGAGAACCACTGGTAAGTAATTGAAGATGAGTGTGTCATTTAAAGTGCGAGTGAAAATGTTTGCATGTGCCTGATTTCTTGCATTACATTTTAATTATTTCCATTGTTATGTTGTGTAATTTAGTGAGTGATAGGATCAGTATTGAGAGGTTGAAATAAGAAGATATGCGTGTTCTTCATACTGTTCTCTTTAAGAAATTATGGGATAGTGCATAGGCAGTCACTAAGCTGAATGCTTGCTAGCGTAACTAACACAACATCTGTTTGATACTGATACAAAATGACAGGATTGCATGCAATCAAGAACAATACAGTCATTCGTATGAAAACCTTGTCTGAAAGCACTTTTGTGTCACCTGATGCTTATCTGTGTATTAGAAACTCTTACACTGTACTAACTATTACTGTCTGTTTTTATTGGGGTAGACAGAATATTCCATAGCTGTATATTTTTGCTTGAAATAATGGTAAAATGAAATTGAAATTCAAACAATGGTAAACTAGGTGTCACATACCTTTTTCAGGGTGTTACGTTTAGAGTTGAGAACAATGATCTGGTAATAGCACGAATTCTTCATGGCGGAATGATAGATCGACAAGGTCTTCTGCATGTAGGTGACATTATTAAGGAGGTGAATGGCCATGAGGTTGGAAACAATCCAAAAGAATTGCAGGAACTGCTGAAAAATATTAGTGGCAGTGTCACTCTGAAGATTCTCCCCAGCTACAGAGACACTGTTATTCCTCAACAGGTCAGTAGCACATTTCTAATAATTCTGTCAAAAGCACTTCTGCTTGGTACTTTATCGTATAAGATTATTTTAAGATTTTGGATTAGAAATATTTTGGTTAATTTGTGTGTTTAATGCTAGCAGAAAGGCTGAATTGTAGATGCATGTATTCACCTTTTAAGTATATTTTGGAAATGGGTTTATTCAGTAGATTAATACCATGCCTAATATGCCTGCCTAAAAAATTTGAATCCATATCTAAGATTGATAAGCATTTGCATACTACTTGTAAAGCATGTTTCTTTGACATCCAGTGACCTCTGATGACCTAGCCACAATCACACTAAACTGCAGTGAACTGCATGTGTTTTATAACATGATCAGTGTCCAAATAATCTGTTTCATAGGATTCAGAAACATACTGAATTCATGAGATGAGCTTGAACTCACTGACTTAAGTGGGAACTTGGATGGTGGCTATCCTTTTGTTGTTGCTGTAGGCTGTTGATTTCCCCACTGCAGAAGTACTTTGTTGCTCTAAATTAGTGCATCTGAAACATCTTGGAAACTTCTTCAGGTAGTGGGTCTTAATGCCTGTGACTATAATAGACTGTGCTTACATTGAGTAGACAACAAGGCAGTGTGCTGTATTTGAGGCAGGTGCACTGCTTCCTTTGCTCCCCAGCCTGGTAGAAAAAACTCAAACATGTTTCCAGTCTACTGACGCAACTTACTGTTTCTTCCCTTGCATCAAATTTGAGTCTTAAGCACTCACTTATCTTGTTTGTTTTAAAACAAGTTCATGGCAAAATTAATTCTTAAGATTCCACAAGCCTTGAATACAGTGCTCACATTCTGAGAATTTTTTATATTTTTAAGTAAAATCAGAATACTAATAGAGTTGTATATACTGAAATACAAAAATTAGTGTTTTGTAATACATTGTCCAAATAGAACAGTTGGCTTTTTATTTTTATCATGAAGCTGCTTCAGCCAAAGTTTGCGCTGCTGAATATTTTTACTCTCTCACCTGGTATATGTTAATTCTTTCTATAGATTGCATTTTACTTGCCAAATGTAACTTGTCAAACTTTTTATGCCTTAGGTAAAGACATTACTTCAGTTTGACAGATAAATTAGTAAGAATGTGTTTTATAATGTTTGAGCTTTGTAAATTTTTACACATTTCAGGTTTTTGTGAAGTGTCATTTTGATTATAATCCATATAACGACAACCTCATCCCATGCAAAGAAGCAGGTTTGACATTTTCTAAAGGAGAAATTCTTCAGATTGTAAACCGGGAAGATCCAAATTGGTGGCAGGTTGGTAAAAAGATTTAAAAAATAAAATAAAAAGGTTCACTAGTTGCCTTAATAATAAACTCTTTAAATTATGATCTACTTCCATTTAACAGTAGATACAAGGAAAAATATTTACACTGCAATCCAATTTCAAACTAATATCAAGATATTAACAATTGAAATACTAGAGAAAATTGAGTGATATAAATTGTATATGTAACACTCATTTTGCTGTTGCTACTATTTATTTGTCTTCGTTCTTGTATTGTAAGCCTAGACATTCCAAAATCAGTTTAAGTGGTCAATTTCTAGCAGAAAGTCTTAGGCTGTGGGAAGCCTTCCCTGACAGCAACTGTGGAAGAAGTGGACTCCTTCCTGAGTGTTCAGAGTTGTGGAGAGGGAAATTAACCCTGTGAATTTGAAGAGGGTGAAAATAGCTTGTATGGAGAAGCTGTATCTTTTATTTCCACAGTTGTGGTCAGTGTCTGTGAGCTGTAACATGCATGTTCATAATCAAAATGATTGTTTGGCACTATTTCAAATATTAACAGTTCATCCTACTTTAAGGTTGTAGTTCTACATTCAGTCCTTCAGTAGAAATGTAATCCAGTGCTTATGCTATTTTTATTTTTTCAAGACACACAATTAGACATCATCAGTGCCTTTGAAAGTGGGACGAGTGAACCTTTAAGACACTTCTCAACTGAGATACTTAAAATTGCAAGTGGCAGTGGCAATCCAGGCAAAGAGTTTATCATTACTAATTTCCCTTTCTACCCCTGTATTGCTCACTTTTTGCTAAATAACAAGAACTAGTGAGCCAAACGTTACTTGAGAGCAATATATATGTGACTTATTTAAAAGCCATAAAAATATAGAAGAATATACATCAATAACTGTTACTGAATTCTGTTGCTTGCCAATGACAGTAATAACAGAAAGAAAGAGAATAAAAAGTGTGAGGGAAAACAGAAAATATATGACTGCCAAGTTAATTAGTTTCAGAAGTTAAGACACCCCAAAGCTCTGGAGCAGTTTGACATTTAACTTACATGCTGTCTTCAGTATTGCTTTTTGAATTCTCCAGCTTGTAACTTGTGGGAGTCCAGGAGGAATAAGTCTTACATCTTAAATATTCAATCAGTGGCAAAAATGAAATGCATTAAACCAGCATACTGTGTTGCAAGTATTGCTATGCAGATCATGCCACTGGGAAGAAAAGGTTAGTTTCTCATGTGCTTTCTGGAAATGCTAGACTGTTACTGAAAACTTGCTAACTGTAAAAAATCAGTTAGTCATAGGTAAAAGCGTACAAGTTGAAAAGTAAACAGTTCATGTTAGCAAGTGACAGGCCAACCAGTTTTGGGGAAGAAAACTAACATTTTGTAACTGTGCACTTGTATGGATTAAGCTTGCTGAGAATTGAGCTTGCCATGAAAAAGAAGAGAATCTTAGCCAAACTTTATTTACCAGGAATATTTATGTTACTAAGATTTTAAATCTGTAGCTACTTAGTGCACAAAGCTTTGAAGGCATGTCACTATTTGTGAAATGACAATTAATAAGCTGCACTGGAATCTGTTTGGAGCAGCTCAAGAATACAAAGTAAGCGTGCTGTGTACTAGAAAGTCTTGAGTTTTGTCACTTGAGAGTTAAATGTCTTGGAGCCATAGAATTCCATTTAGGATTTTGGTGGTAAAAGTTTATGGCTATAGGAGCTTATTAACTTAATGGGAACCAGTAGTGAAACTTCTATTTATTTTATTTAAATGTTCTGAATTTTAATACTCAATGGCAACACACTAGTACTGTAAGACAGAATTCTAATATTCACATCTGAGTTTGAATTTCCAAGTCTCAGTAGTAAATGTATCATTTAGAGAATGATATTGAGAAACTCTGGCAGTGTGAAAGTCAGTCAACACCATGTTGATGAAAAAAATGGTTTTTTCCACAAGTTACCTATGATTTTTATTTTTTATTTTTCTAGGCTAGTCATGTCAAAGAAGGGGGAAGTGCAGGGCTTATTCCTAGCCAGTTCCTGGAAGAGAAGAGAAAGGCCTTTGTTAGAAGGGACTGGGACAACTCAGGTGAGATTTAATGAATTTCAGGAATAGATTTTGCTCCGACTCCCATTTATTTTGCTTTTCCTGACTTCATAGATACTAGAAAACTACTGTGTGAGAATACACAGAATATTAAGAAATGCCACTTATTATATTTTGGCCTTGACTGAAGGACAAAGCCTAAAGTCTATGCTTAATCTTCAGAGAAACATGAATCAGTTTTGCCACCTGCTGATGAAAAGCTAAATGAGGTGGTAAAGGCCTAAGAATTAGCTCTTAAAAACTTTTTTTTTAATAGTATGCACTGAAAATTAATAAATTAAACATGTTTGATGGATTTTTCTGCTGCTTTATACAAGCTTTTTTCTAGGAAAATTAATTTTTTCTCTGTGTTCAGTTCTTACTGTACCATTTGATGTGTATGAAAATAGATGTGATCTCCTGCCCTAGAATATATGAAATTTTCAAATAGTCCTTACAAATTTAATTAATCTAAACTTGCACATGTTCATGTAAATAAGCTTCAGAAAAACATATTTAACAAAAATGATGAGTTTGTCTTAATTTTTATTTCCAGGGCCTTTCTGCGGAACAATAAGCAGCAAAAAAAAGAAAAAGATGATGTATCTCACTACAAGAAATGCAGGTATCTCTTAATATTACATATGAATCAAAGTTCTCTAGGCTTCTAAACTTGCAGAGTCTAGTGTATCCAAAGCTGAAACATTTGCAGTAAAATAATCGATTATAAAGTTGATAGATCAGATAAGTTTTTCTGGTTTAAAAGCAATAGTGACCAGTGAAGATGTGGTGCTCAATACATCTTTTGGTAGGTGGAAGTCAGAGAAGAATTTTGTGTTAAAAGAGAAAAGAAGTGAAAGCTTTGTTGCCAGCAGGTGGAGGGATGTGATCCTTCCTTTCTACACAGCACTGGCAGGGCCACACCTGAAGGGTACTGGACTCCTCCCCAGTGCAAGAGAGATACAGACATACGAAGATGAAGGGACTGGAGCATCTCTCCTGTGAGGAAAGGCTGAGAGGGCTGGGACTGTTCATCCTGGAAAAGAGAAGGCTCCAGGGGGATCTCATTAATGTGTATAAATACCTGAAGGGAGGATGCAAGGAGGATGGAGCCAGGCTGTTTTCAGAGGAACCCAGTGATGGGACCAGAGGCAACAAGCAAAAACATATGAGGTTCCCTCTGAACATCAGGAAACACTTTTTCTACTGTGAGGATGACTGAGCACTGGCACAGTTTGCCCAGAGAGATTGTGGAGACTCCCATTCAACAGCCATCTGGATGTGGTTCTGAGCAACCATCTCCAGGTGGCCCTGGTTGAGCAGGGGGATTGGACCAGATGGCCTCCAGAGGTCCCTTCCAACCTCAAATATTCTGTGGCTCTGTGAAAACTACTAATTGTTAATGATGGTTTTCCCATTCTGATCAATCTCGAATTTTCTCCTTGGAAATAAAGGTAATAATCTGACTTTATGCTGTCCATGAAGGGGTAACTATTTTATGCCCATACCAATTTAAAGCAAGAAAGCTTGTATCAGGCTTAATGCCTTTGAGTGCTATTTATATTCACATTCTGTCTGTTGATATATAGCAAGACTGCTTAATTTTTTTTCTTACAGTACTGACCATGTATTAAATAATTCTCGTACACTTCTCAATGTAGAATTTGATCGTCATGAAATCCAGATCTATGAGGAAGTAGCCAAAATGCCTCCTTTCCAAAGGAAAACACTGGTTTTAATTGGAGCCCAAGGAGTGGGGCGAAGAAGTTTGAAGAACAGGTTTATAGTACTGAACCCTACTAGGTTTGGAACTACAGTGCCATGTAAGTTGTCAGAATTCCTACCATAATATCATACTTTGAGTCTCTGATTATCTGGAAAATCCTTGGTGTTTATCCTAGTGATTGAGGGTAGGAGTAATTTTGTCAGAATATAAAAATCTTACAGAGTGGGAAAACAAAAGGTTCTTCATCTTCTCAGACAATTGGACTACCATATGATGACAGGAAAAATATTTGTAACTAGCAGTTAAATGTTACTGATGCTGCGGAAAAACAATTTTTGTATGTGCCATATTTCAGTCTATGTTTCCTCATTGTCAGCCACCATCAGCTACTGAGGGGATCCTAGAAGTTCCTAGTAGCCTTTTGTAATGAACAGCCAGTGGATTTTCTCAGGTCTGCTGTTTATTTTTCCATCTGTAGAAGTACCATAGGCATTATAAGTTGTTACTTTAGTATTAGAAATGCAGGGAAAAGCAACAAACTTCCAATAAACCTGAAGTGTTTGTGATCTCCAAGATTTGTATGATAATCTGATGTTTTAATACATCTAGCCTCAAGCCCATGATCTTTCTTTTTTTTCTCCCTATCAACTTCAGAAAAAAACATCCTCCCTTACTGAAGTATTGTTTTCTTGCCTTCCTTCCAGATAGTTACTTTGCTCATTCGCAACATCTTTATTTTTTTTAACTGCCGCCTCCTGTTTGACTGCTGACCAGAGAAGTCCACCCTAGCTACATAATTATTCTCTTCCTGCCACCTGCTTTTCAAAATTTCAAAAACAGTCTGTTCCCTTCTGTTTTCAGTGGGCAAGAAGTAGGTCTCAGAATAGGGGAGGAGGGACAGGTCTTAAAGATAAATTGTGCAACATGAGAGAACCAGTTTCTCTCCTCATTTGCTGAATCTCTAACACCAAAACTGACCAGTGCATTAAGAATTAGTATGCGTGACTGATAACAAGGTTGACTTCTCAGTGTTACTTTTGAAAAGAAATCTTCCCCTGGGAATATTATTATTTTATATTGGCAAAATAGTAATTTTTATAATTACTAATTAATTAAAAATAAAAATAAAACACTTTTTATTACTTTTACAATTTTTATTGCCTTAAAAAAAAATCCCTCAAAATTACTGGTTTCTCTAAAATTCTATATAGATGCTTAAATATATATATAAGTAATGTAACACAGTGTTAAAATGCTTTTACTTGGAGCTCTTGAACACCCTTCAAAGGCATAAAAACTAACTTTTCCAACCTAGCAATCTGACAATCTAATCATGCACATGCAGTACATAGTTTATTGTATATAGAATCTCCTCTCTCTCGAGTTTAAGTAGGATAATCAGTAATCTTAGTTGGCCTCAGTTTCTTTGATTTAGAATAAAATTCTCCTGGTTATTCACAAGCAAATATGTGTGGTGGTGTTTGGGATTTTTTTCAGAAAATGGCTGAAACGGATCCATTTTGCTATGGGGAGAAGCATGTCCTTGGTGTTGAGTTCTAAGTTTTTTCTGCAGTGTGGATAGCTACTGTCAAGAACTGTCAAGTCATTTTCTGGCCATAAACTGTTAAAGCTCATTCTCCAAAATTTATTTCAAAATTATATGTTTGGTTTTTTCTTGGTACTGTATGAACCATTATAGTTCTAATCTTTCTGTAGAATCTTGCCTAAAACTAGATGTTCTAGTAATGTGTCTATTGCTAACAGCTTCAGAAGATCACTTCTCCTGGGACACGAGTTTTCTATGATAATGAAGTTGATAGGAGTTACTGGAAGGGGGAGAATGCTTTCCACTTGTATCGCCAAGTTGCACCCAGTAGTGATACAAGTGTTACCAAAGGGATTCATTCACTGTTATGTTTAATATATTCTAGAGTTCAAACCTAATTAAATGCAAGTAGTGGGCAGGTAATATGGTGATAAGACAGCAAAGTCAGTAATAATCTGGTATTTTATTCTGTGTTATTTTTATTCTGTGTTATTTTTATTCTGTGTTATTTTTATTCTGTGTTATCTTAACTTTCTTGCTTAAATAATGTCTGTACTGTACGGTGTAGCCAATACCCAAGATAGCTGCTAATGTTTTACTTAAATACCTTTATATTTTAAGTATTAATATAATTAATAA